TGTGAAAGTTGAGCACAGTAATTATATGTTGTTTTCATGTCTTTTTTCCATATGTTCTTTAGACGTTTGACCTTCCTTCTTTCTAGCCTCGGCCCGTATGCATTGGGTGCAATTTGGAACACATTCACCAAGGACGCTTTTGGGCCAGGACCTGCGTTGGACTGTTCTCCGCTACAAAAGTGCTTCAAGTTCAAGAAGCGCTCTTTGCGACACCAAGAGCACTTTATATAATTACTGACCAAACGTTACAAAAAACCAAAGGCATCGATCTTGGTCTTGACTATTTCCATCTACTTGATTGTTGGTTCGTTTTGCTCTTGTACAGTTCATTTGCATGCTTTCTTTCTTCAGCTTCTTTTTGTCCTTGTTTTTCCACTTGCTAGAACCTTAGTTGCAAGGACAGACTTACTGCAACTCTGGACCTCTCGACTGTGATATGACAAATTATGTGAGGCCATCTGAGACTGAGCAAACCTACTAGCAATATGTCCCAACTTAAGAGCGATGGCCTCCAACCTACCAGCAATGGCCTCCACCCTAATAGCGATGGCCTGTAGACCGCGTAGCGGCAGGTTCCGAGATGTACCCGATTGAAAATCTGAGGCATGCGCAAATCCAAGAGTTTGCTGATCTGAACCTGTCCACTCACTGAAACAGCAAAACCCGAAAGCCGAACATCAATGGCCGACCTGGACGTGCTCCGTGATGAAGCCGCTCTCCACCTTGGCAAGTGCTCCAGGTACAAAACAAGCCATCATGGGTCACAGGGGGGTCACAGGGGGGTCACAGTCCTCATATCTGAGAACAGCACCATCATCCTCCATTGATCCAAAGCTTGTGGGCTATCCTGGTCATCCAAGCCTGGACCACTGGATATCTCTGGACCATCTGGACCTCTTAGACAATGAACCTACAACCTCTTAAAGTCTTAGCATCTCTACGTATGACCGTATGACTCTCTCTCTCTCTCTCTGTTGGCGGTCACTTGAGTGTCTTCTGGAGCCTTTTCAAACAAATTAGACAACACGTCCTCCAAACCAAACATCTAACCTCTTTTGTTCACATCTCATATCTTTCCCAACCTAAGAGCGGCATGTTCCGCCTTTTTTGCTTTGTTCCAGTCTTCATCTGCCTCCGGAGTGCGCTGAGGACATTGAGCCGCAGGGGCCGCCCCCGGGCCCGCTAGGCCCGCCAGGCCCGCTGACACCCTCTGACACCGGTGCCGTTTCGGTTGGCGCCGGCGGGGCTGATGCTGGAGCAGAGCCTTGGCCTTGGGCAGTGAAGGATCAAGTCACCGGTGAAAACATGAGTAAACCTTATAAAACCACATATATATATATAATGTATCATATTGCTTCCTGACAGTCGGCTTATGGCACATTGTTCGCATGTTCACACCCATGATCTCTCTTGTGAGCTTCCGTCAGTTCCAACCAATGGACCAAGGATGGCACTGGAGAAGAAACTCAGTAGCGACATGTTGGAGAATGATGCTGCCGGTCCGGTGCAAAGCTATGTCAAGCAAGAATGTATTGAATTGATTATTGATTTGCTCGTGCCTTGTTCCTCAAGGGTTGGGAGGGAACCTGACCCTTAAGGATGCATCACACAATCTGATCGGATAATTGCACCTTGCTGGTGATGGTTGTCGGTTGTTGTTCTTTGGAGGCTTGAGCTAGCCATAACTGGTTTCATTGCCAGGTTTGTGTCTCCAAAGCCAACCTGACAGCCGCAGATCCAAAGCTTCGAGTCCAGGCATGGAATGCAAAGCCTTGCCACGTTTCGAATTGAAAAGCTGCGACCTGCGGCAAAGAAAACTCTTTTTGCCCTCAGTTGTTCATCTTGTGCTTCTTTGGCACAAGATTAACAATTTAAACATGTTGTTCTGCTGCCCACTGTAAGGTCCCTGGAGAACTCCTGGAAGTGGAGTGACCCGGTACCGAGACCGGACGAAGAGAGGCTCTGAATGTGCTCTCAAGATCATCCAGAAGGGTCCTGAGACCCTCCGCGAAGGGCGTCGGCAGATTCGCTCGGCGAGACTTGTCAACGACTCGCTTCAGTCGACTGATGTCCAGAGCTCGGTCCGGAAGAAACGACGCTTGGTCCGACTTGAGTGTAACTTGGAGCTGTTGGTTCGGTGTGTTCGCTTTGTTTTCCCCGCATGCTCCGTTCAAAGAGCCGCAAGGACCAAAAGCCTTCGACAAGGTTTGCGCCATCTGGAATTCAGTGAGCCTCTCTGGTCCCTGCCAATGGTAGATGCCGCGTAGCTCTTCACCCTTGGCCAAGTTCTCAAGCAACAACATCAAGAGTGATGCCACATCTCCAGCCAAAGTTGGGTATAAGGGCTGGGTGCTAAATTTGCACTCACCCTGCAGAAGCCGCTGCAGCAAACCTCCATGAATCATGTGCTCTGACCAGTTCACACGCTACAAACATTTTCCCGACTTGCCGAATTGCAATGGCCTCCCCAAAACCCAACACTAAGAAAAGGTGCCCAAAGCGGCTCCCAAATTGTCCAAGAGACAGGTCACTGGCGATTCTCCAAGAGTTTGAACTGAGCCGTAAAGACATGAGACACGGATCACTGCAGCACGGTGCCGATGGCCTGCAAACTCATTAAAGTAAAACTTTAAACAATTATTCCGACAAGAGACCCCAAACAGTGTGTGTGTGAGGTGAGGTCTAGAGGTGCAGTAGCAGAAAGTCTGGAGATCTAGACGCGCTGGGGTCCAGACAGGTGATGGTGATGAAGGTGGTGATCGTGGCGGCGGTGGTGAGCGAGTGACCTGTTGCGAGTGTGAGCGAGAGTGAGAGTGAGTGTGAGTGAGTGTAAGTGAGAGTGAGTATGAGGGTGAGCGTGAGCGTGTGTGAGTGTGGCCTCCAACCGAATTAATAGCAATGGCCTCCACCCCAATAGCGCTGGCCTCCAACCTAATGGCATGTCCTCCAACTTAAGCCTCCAACCTAATAGCGATGGCCTCCAACCTAATAGCCTTGGCCTCCAACCCAATAGCAACAGCCTCCAACCTAATAGCAACAGCCTCCAACCTAATAGCAACGGCCTCGAACCTAATAGCGATGGCCTGTAGACCGCCTGCAACGTTGGAAAGCTGACGGTGCGCGCCAGCCTTTTTAGTCCGAATTCATGTCGGACATATGCGCCAGACTGCTGGCGGGGCTGCTCGGAGTATTTGCCCCACCAGGCCCGAAGGTCCCGCAGCTCTTCCTGAAGGAGCGGAAAGTTGAACGATCAAAGCAGAAGAGTCTTAAATGTTCGGGCGTCGGCCGACTTCTGTCCTATACTTCCGGTGCGCAAGTGAAAAAAGGAATAAACATTCGAGCGCTGCAGCTACAGTGTTCTCATCAGCCACAACCATTTGCCAATACATTTGACCCATTCCGGAATTGCCCCTTTGATCTCTCTGGGGGCAGCGCAAAGACAAAATATGTACACAGATTCACTCACTCACGTTGTCTTTGCCGGTGCGGGCAACAAGGGTATGTGAAATGTCAATGAGGTGGGCAAGTCCCGTCCAACGCAATCAAATTGGCCAGGAGCGTAATTCAACGTTCTAGCCCCACCCTCAACTCATGACAGGTTTGAAACTGCAAAGGCATTCTCAACTATTTTCATGTTTTGCTTCACTGGTTACACGTCGGGTTTTGGGCAAATCGGGCTGATAAGTATAAGGTAGAATTCGCGATTTCTTCTTTGGTGCATTGCCTTTCTCCGTCTCTTGCTCAAGCTGTGGCCCGCACCGCTTTTGCGTTGGCTTTGCCACAGCTGCCTGCAGCCGGGCCTCTGCAGCGCTGCCCCGCCGGGAGACGCTCGCCCCTGCGAGCGTTCTCCATGTTAGAGCGGAGGGTGGCTGCAAACAGAGGTAGCCGGCTCTCGTGGAACTGCATGGCAGTCATGTTTCGAGCAGCGGTGGGGCCCTCATTGGTTGCAATCTGCTTTGCCCACGTGTTTTTTGGGGGGGCACCAAAAAGCCACCGAGCTAGGCGCAAACCCTAAGACCTAAGACTTGTTACGTGGCGCCCAAGCTACCCTTGGAAAACCAATCCAAGGCTTCACTAAAACACCACTGCCTGAAAGACCCTTTCGCGTTCCCACGTCACCTTCCCATGTTGCAAGGCCTCCAAAGCGCCGTCTTGGACGAGCGCCAGCACAGCTTCCACCTTTGGTGGAGCTTGGTCCTGCAAGCAAAAAATATACCGGCGTAGACGGCGTAGACCCCAAACAGTTTGTGTGTTTCCCAACCGCTCAAAGTGTTCCAACTCGCAGTGATCAGCTCTGGAATTCCTGGGTTTGTTTCAGCTCTTGACTCAATAATTGGTTCAAGGTCAGGACCAGCAATTCAAATGAAGACGGAACAAATGCTAATCTACTGCGCATGCTGAATTGTTCTGACATGTGGCTTTATCCTGCTTTGTTACTCGACTGGAGACAGTGGGAGACAAGTGGAAGACACATGTAAAATCATGCGGCCAGACAAACTTGGGACAGTGGAAAACAACTAGTGAACATATGTAAAGTCATCTGGCCAGAGCACCCAAGGGTGGACGGGAGACACATGTAAAATCACGCGTCTAGAGCACCCACACGGCACCTGAGACAGTGGGGGCAAGTGGGAAACACGTGCAGGGGGACGAATGTAAAAACACGAGGCCAGACAAACTGGTGACAGACGGAAACGATTGGGAAACAAGTGGGAGACAAATGTAAAATCATGCGGCCAGAGCACCCACAGTGTGCCAGGAACGCAAGCCCGGAGACTAATGTAAAATCATGCACCCTTTCATAAATTCATGCGGCCAGAGCACCCAGAGACTAGAGGGGACTGGAGACAATGGGAGACAGTGGGAAACAAATGTAAAATCACGCAGACAGAGCACGCAGAAGAGTGGGAGACAGTGGGCAACACATGTAAAATCACGCGGCCACAGTGTGGCAGGAATGCAAGCCTGGAGACTAATGCAAAATCATGCGGCCAGAGTAGAGGGACTGGAGACAGTGGAAGAGAAACGTAAAATCATGCGGCCACCGGTCATGCGGCCCTTTCAAAGGAGAAAGAGCCCCTCACAGGTGAACCTGTTTGGGGAACAACCAAGCGAGCGGGGCATCCAAGATACTTTCAACTCAAGCCGCAGCGGTTCTTTTCTTTGGAGAGTCAGGTAGGTTGATGGTGTTTGTGGTAGTCATTGTGGTCGAGCTAGATGGTTGATAGTAAGTTGTGGGTCATCTCACGTCTCTAGAACTATAGCTGGCTAGGGTTGCTAGCGGCTAGCAAGAAGGTCTCCCCCAACTTCACCGTGTGACATTACAACGTGGGATGTTGCACCCCCCTTCGCGCGCCCAACCCGTTGCCACCCTGCTGGGTCTCAAGCGCGGGCTGGGCCAGCCGCGCGGGCTGCGCCGGCGCCGCGGCCGTGGCGGCGTGTTCTAGCACCAGGTGAGCCTCCTCTGGAGACACCCAGGCTTTGAACTCGCCCCGAAATTCAAAGTTTGCGTTTGCAAGCTGGAACTTCTTGGCCGCCCAAAAACTGAAAACTGCGGAGCGAGAGAGCAATTATATGATTTTCGGAAAGGCGCCAAGCACCATCTATAATGTGGGTCACTAAGTCTGGGATGGTCAATCTCATCAACCAGCTGCCCAACCTAATAGCAATGGCCCCCAACCCAATAGCAATGGCCTCCAACCCAATAGCGGGGCCTCCAACCTAATAGCAATGGCTTCCAACCCAATAGCGATGGCCTCCAACCTAATAG